GTGTGTGTGTGTGTGTGTGTGTGTGTGTGTGTGTGTGTGTGTGTGTGACGTTCCTATATGTGCAGCATAAAACTATTCATTCATTTACACGCACGTGTGTTCAGCTGGTCAGCGGTCTTGACCAATCAGCTGACAAAGGGACAGTTTCGATTGATGGGTGCATCTCAATTACACAGGTATTTGTGTCTTGTGGGGTTTAGATATGTCACAACTGTTCTCTGCCGCTGCGGCGTTGTTGTCTGCCAGAGATGCAGGAGTTTTGTCATGCTGCTATTTGTTGGTTACAAGAAGCTGACAGCTGCAGAGCTCTAAAGCTACTAAAAAGAAAGTTAACTTCAGCCAGAAGTCATCCAAGGTGAGACAGAGGAATAGTTGCTGATGATCTCTGAAGAATCAAAGTTTTTGTTGCATATGCACCCCTCTCTCACTCACACACACACACACACTCTCTCTGTATTTTCCTGTCTCTCATGCCCTGCAGGTAGCCATCAAACCCTCTCTGTGAAGCCTCCATTTCAGTTCCCATCGGTAGAATTCTCACTTTTATTTGCTTCTCTGCATCTCTCGCTGTATTGTTTTAATCCGTCTGCAGCACGCTTGAGTATCGCTACACTGTTTGTTTTTTTATTTTTATTTAAAATGAAAGTCGTAGAAATACCATCACTGCCATAGTGCTGGGTGATATGGACAAAATCATCAAACGGTGATTTGATATCTTGATAAGGATGTATATCACAACACAGCATGTTTTTTAATAAGTCAACAAATAAATAGTCTATATGGAATGACCACATGGTTTTATAGTCTCTTGTGTGAATGAAATACTTGACAAATGAAAAGTATTTTCTTATTTAAGAACTTTAGTGCAAAATAATCCGATTTTTGGAGAAATTTGAGTGTGTGCTTGTTATTATCAATTTAGACAACGTAATTGTGTATCACACTGTATGATTTCATCACACAGTCATCATCATTATCATATTGAATTATCACCCAGCCTTACTGCAATCCCGTCCGTCTAACCCTCCACCCCTCTATGAGCCCTCACTGCCGTCTGTCTTCATCCTCTGTGTTTCTCTCCCTCCCTCCACATCAGTGCACTCTCCGTCTTTTATTCAGTTACAAAGACTAACAGAGACACGGGAGCATGTCACTCAACTTCCTCTACATCCACTGTTACTTCAGATTCCTTTAGATAGTTTCGTCGACACTTTGAATTTGACTGAAACTACATCAGATGGAATGAATGACTGTGGATAGGATACCTGTATTTGTGGGCCTTGTGCTTATTACTAGAGTGTGTGTGTGTGTGTGTGTGTGTGTGTGTGTGTGTGTGTGTGTGTGTG